AAGGATACCCATATCTTGTTGTAGTTGGCTGTGAGCCACCATGTGGTTTCTGGGAACTCAACTCAGAATCTCTGGAAGAGCAGACAGTGCTCTAAACCTCTGAGCCATCTCTCCAGTCCAAGTTTTATATTTTAAACTTCACTGTGCATAAGATATGATTGACAGATAGTTTAAGGCAATCTCAAGTAAACTATTATGGATTTTATTTTTACATGCAATAAATGTAGCTGAACAATATTATTTTATATAAAACTGAAGCTCTTTTATTCAGCGAGAAGAGCATTAAAGCAGTTTTCCTATCCATACATTATCTCCATTGCAGTTGCTGCCCTCCCCTTCCATTAACTTAAAGCATCCATCTTTTCACTCAGTCTGAAAAACACATTCTTTAGGGTTGGTTTGACAACCCTATAAATGGCTGAAATGAAAGGTTTTCATACAAAATTCTGTTAAAATATCTTTATTTTATCACTACTTTCAAGGATAAGCTGATGGGATATGGAATTCCAGACTGGTAGCTTTGATTCGTTATGACATCTTGACATGCACCTGCAGGCTCTCCTGTCTGTGAGTTGGAGAGAAGGTGTGCTGTCCTCTGTGATTGGAGGTTGTTCAGATTGTGTGTATCAAACATGACTCTGGTGTGTATAGATCTAGGCCATTTTTTATTTATCTAACACGCTAATCTCTGACTTTTCTGAACCTTTAATTTACAGTTCCCTATCCATCAATTTTAAACACTGTTCAATCTGTTTCATATTGGCTACTCTCTTGAGCATTCCAATGTGTATTCATTTAGCTATGAAATTTTTTTCTACAGTTGCAGGAATGTTACCCTCTTTATTTTCCTTAGATCACTTAATTCTTTAAATGAATACAGTACTTCCTATAGACATGTTTACTGAAAAGCTCAAACTCTTGCTGACTTCCCAGTGTCAATCTCTTAGCTCCATTTCTTTTAAGAACTCTGTTGGGGATAGATTGCAAGCTTTAGTAGTGTGGGTCTGTGGTTGTCTTGATTGGCTCACTGTAAAGGTCTGAGAGCTATGTAGATAAACCCCACTAAATTGTGCTGCCTCAATTCACAGTGGATTCTACCCACTGCAAAAGCAGAAAACTGTGATTTCTGCCTGGTTAGACATCTGCTGCCATATTCCTATTACTTCCAGGTCTCTGCCCTAAATATCGCAAATTGTTCTACAAAGGTACAGGACAATTGTGATGCTCCCTTGTTTGTTCATCATGAGAATGACAGGGATGGTGATGCCTCCAGAAGTTCCTTTATTATAAAGGTTTCTTTTGTTGTTGTTTTTATCCTGGGTTCTTTGTTTTTCCATATAAAGTTGAGCATTGTCCTTTTAAGGTCTGTGAAGAATTGTGCTGGGATTTTGATGGGGATTATATTGAATCTGTCGATTGCTTTTGGTAAGCTTGCCATTTTTTACTATTTTGATCCTACCTATCCAAGCTCATAGAAGATCAAAAGCCTCCCCCAAAAAAGAAAAAAAAATAGAAAAGAATAAAAAAAAAAAGCCCAGAGCCAGATGGCTTCCATGCAGAATTCTACCAGAAATTCAAAGAACAGCTAATACCAATACTCCTCAAATTGTTCCACACAATAGTAGCAGAAGGATCATTGTCAAACTATTTTTTGAAAGGCTAAAATTACATTTGTACCAAAACCACACAAAGACACAACTAAGATAGGGAACTACAAATTAATATCCCTCATGAACACTGATGCAAAATAATAAAATACTGGCAAATTGAACCCAAGAACACATCAGGGAAATCATCCACCATTATCAAGTAGGCTTCATTCCAGAAATGCAGGGATAGTTCAACATATGAAAATCCATCAAAGTGATCCACCATACAAACAAATTGCAAAAGAAAAACCACATGATTATTTCCCTAGATGATGAAATACCCTTTGACAAAATCCAACATCCCTTCATGATAAATGTCTTGGAGAGATCAGTGATAAGAAGAACATACCTAAACATATTAAAAGCAATATAGATCAAACCAACAGCCAACATCAAACTAAATGGAGAGAAACTCAATGTAATTTCTCTAAAATCAGGAACAAGACTATCCATTCTCTCCGTATCTCTTCAATATTGTACTTAAAGTTTTTGCTAGAACAATAAGACAACAAAAACAGAGCAAGGGGTTACAAACTGGAAAAGAAGAAGTAAAACTTTCACAATTTGCAGATGATAAAATATACATTTTTAAATTGCAAAAGCAAGTAGCATTTCCCCCATGTAATTGCATTCCATTCATATTATAGATTTGGTTATATCTTTACACCACAATGAGTTACAATAATATGGTATTCCAAAATGAGCATAACAATCTCCAGGTGGCTTGCTTGCTTACTATTATTGCTGCTGAAGACTGGTAATTTTTGAAAACAAAATGTGTTCACTCACCATTTGTTATTCAAGCTAGATATGAACTTAAGAAGTTTATCTGATGGTAACTTAGATATTTAGGATTTATGTTTTAGGTTAATCTGTATAGGGCAGGAAGCTGAGTAGGAAAGCATGTAGCTGCAGCAATGTAAAGATTTCTTGTTACAGTAATGGATCAGAAAAAAAAATGTTGTCAGGGGAAGAAGAAAGACAGAATAACACCCAGATGTAGGCAGTGTGGAAAGAAAATGATTCTTGAGTTGTAATATAATAGAACCCTATTTTTATTCATGCATGGTGTATGTTACTACTACTATCTAAAATATAGAGTTCTAGATGCTAACTTTGCAAAGCCCTCACCTTTGTTTTAAATTCAAGTGGTCAGAGTCAGATTTTGAGACACATTGGGAAATTGTTTGTTCTGATTATTTAGAAACATTAGTGTGACTCTCACATTCATGATGATTTAGATTTTCATAGCAGAGATGCCTATAGATGGAAATGATCAGGTAGCAAATGGGTCCATAATTTTATACGTAACCATCTAGGAAAGTCAAAATTCCTTGTAGGAAAATGAAGAACAAAATATTAAAATAAGATTTCAGAAGGAAGGATGAGGATTCCTCTCTTCCTCCTCTGTCTCTATTTCTTACCTTGCTTATTGAAATGCTGGACTTCTCAGGAGGTGAGATAGATAGATAGAGAGAGGGAGAGAGAGAGAGAGAGAGAGAGAGAGAGAGAGAGAGAGAGAGAGAGAGAGAGAGAGAGAGAGAGCACATTGTATACTAACACACTCAGGTATAAATACCTCAGGACAAAGAATGGAAAATCAAAGAGTCAGTTATTGCCCTTAAATGACAGCTGGAAGCTGAAAATGAGATAGATGTATATCACACAGGCTTCACCACACTGCAACCCAACATTGGGATGACTTCCTGATAGGTCTACAAGGCATAACAACAGCATCAATTAAGTCTCTGAGCTCAGCTAAAAGGAACACAGTATGGTCCCTGCTGGAGATAGCCCACTGCAAATTGGGTTCTGTATATCCCATACTTTCATTTTGGACATATATTACAGTATTTTAACCTACTGTGATTATACTTCCATCCTAACTGAGCCTGTATTTTTCAAAAACAGGCAGGAGGTTTTTTGTTCACTGACATTCCTAATTTAACAGAATGTTTTCCAAAAGATTTAAAAGTGTCGGCTGAGAGTAGATGTTTTCTTTGAAACATTATTAGTAGAAAATGTTATATAATGTTTTGATCATGTTCATTCTCTTCCCAACTCACCCAAACTCTGCCTCTCTTCCCCATCAACTCAATTTTGTGTCTTCTTCTCAGTATTTTTTGATACCTATTGAATTCAATTCGTGTTTCTCATATATTCTTGAACATGTGGCCTTCCATTGGAGAGTGGTTGGCTTCCCAAGGCTAATCAATTAACATTTTTAATTAGAATTGGATGGAGTGGTCTTTTCCCAGGGGTCAAGATGGTGTTATAGAGTTAATTGATTAGCTTCTGGAAGGACATCTGCTCAAACTCAGGCATATTGGGAAAGAGAAGTATGGGAAAGGGTTTTTTTAATGGTGAAACCATAAAAAGACATTGAATATTTAAGCAAGCAAGAAAGCAAGCAAAAAATTGGTCTGTTATGTCAAGTTTAAATGGTTAAGGCCACTCAAAACAATCTTTGGGAATCTGTCTAAGTTACAGAAGCCAAAAATAAAAAAGCACTTAGTCAGACAGTATGGTTGTACATATCTGGGTGGTGTCATTGAATGAGAGTTACTAGGATCTTAATCTTCCTCCAGGGACTGGAGTCAGAAGCAAATGACTTATGGGTGTGAAGATGGGTGTCTAGAACATAGTGGACGGAGTTTGTTTGTTTGTTCTGGCTATCGCAAGGGAAGTACTCCTGCTCTTGGATGAAAATGGCTGCAGAATTAAGTAGAACTCATCAATGCTAGCCTTGCTTCTTACTGCTCTATCAGACTGGTTTAGGCTTTCTAGAGCATGTCTTCAGCAGTTCTCTCTAGCTCTTGGAATGTCTTCAGAGTGATCCCGCTGGCTGCCAGTGCAAGGACTACATTGCCATCCCAGACCCTTAAACATCTGGCTCTTGAGAGCTTGACTCATCTAAGAAAGCCTTACAACCCTGTTTATAACAGAGACTGAAGTTTGTAATCCTGCCCAGGGAACTGAGACCAATGGGCTTTCTGGTGGGATGCAATTTTGAAGTCTGGCATGGGGGAATTTAAATTGCGTCCCCTGTCACTCATGTTTCCCACATGCAAAGAACCGTCCCCGTTCACCTGGTTCCCCTAACCCAACCTGGCCCAGCGCTTCCACTGTCAGGTCCACTCTTGGTGGAGGGGAAAAAAAAATGCAAGCAAAACTGGCCCGCCAAGAATGGGCTCCGTGTGCTGCGCGTGCGCCGTCGGCTCGGCCGTGACGTCACCGAGCGCGGCCCGCCCCTCCAATATTAGCAACCGGAGGCGTCCGTAGCAGCAGTGGCTGCGGAGATGTGCGAACTTCCGGTCGTCCCGGCGAGCTGTCGTCGCCGCCGCCCCGCAGTCTCCGCCGCCTGCCGCGCGGGCCCTCGGCCGGGGAGTCGCTCGGCGCTAGGCCGGTTCCGGCGCGCCCATGGTCGGCGCTGCGGACCGGGAGGCTGGCCCGGCGGCTGCGGCGTGCTGAGAGGGCGGCGTGGGGACGATGCGGGCCCCGCGCGGCCGCTCCGGGCCCGGCCGCCTCCTGGCCCCGGCCTTCTTCCTGCTGATGCTGCCCGCGCTGGACGCGTCCCCGGCGGTGCCGTCCACGACGGCCAGGGCGGCGCCCGCGTTCGGGCCTCCCGAGCCCGGGCCGCGCACGCAGTCCCCGCTGCCTCCCGGCCCCACCGCGGCCCAGACCCGGGCCCGAGCTCAGGCTGAAGCCGCCGCACCCCGAGGCGCCGAGGGCCGCAATGGCAGCAGCCCCGCGGCGGGGTCTGAGGCCGATGGCCTCGGAGGGCAGGCCGGGGAAGGCTCCGTGGGTGGCAGCTTGGCGGTGAGCCCCAACCCCGGCGACAAGCCCATGACCCAGCGGGCCCTGACCGTGCTGGTGGTGGTGAGCGGCGCCGTGCTGGTGTACTTCGTGGTCAGGACCGTCAGGTGAGGCTTAGCCTCCAGGGTCCCCACCCCCTGCCGCCTAGAGCCAGCCCGCAGACGGGTGCGACCCGCTCCAAGAAGCCGGGTGCAAGGCCTTCAGCTGGGCTTGAGTTTCCCCTCCCTGCCCCCAGCACCAGGGACTGCAATCTTAGCCCCTCCGGTGGACTGTCTTAATGGCCTGTGCTCCCTTACCTCGGGGACACAAGCCCATGCCTTTCGTGTATACATCCCTAACCCACCTCCAGCCTGCCCTTCTTGGAGGCTTGCCTTCAAAGACAGCCTTACCTTGAAGTGACATCATGTCCCAATGCCCTGGAATTTAGATTTCACTGCTGTGCAGTGCCCTTCCTGCCCCCCAGTTGGTGTTTTGCTTGTTAGAAGGCCCTCCCGTTTGTGAGTCAGGGTTCCACTGGCACAGTAGTTCAAAAGGGCCCGATGCAGGTCTGACTTTCTAAAACTTAGACCTTCTTCCTTACCAGTTGTACTTCTTAGCCAGTGCTCTTAATCTACTCCTAAGTTGTTTTTCAGTTAATTGGGCACCGCATCTTTGGAAAGGTGTCAAACAGAGCAAGACCCCACCAGAAAGGGCCAGCCAAGAAAGCAGTAGAGCAGATGGTATTTTATGATATTTGCACTGGTTTACTGTTTTGCAAATTAGTTCACATTTTACCCGTCATTACACACTACCGTTATTTAATATATGTTGTTAAATCGTCAAAACAAAATTTCGCTTTTAAAAAGTCTCTGTGAATGGAAAACTGATATGACTTGATTAAAAGTCTGCGATGCTGTTGGCTATGTGGCCCACAGGATATTATGGATTTTGTTATTATGACCCATCTTAATACTTTGCTACAGTTTTTAAAACTCATTTCCAGGTAATATCTTACAAGTGTATGAACTACAAAAAATTTATTGGTAAGGTTTGAAATTCTACATTGAAGCTAATAAAGAAATACTTCTTGTGAAGCTTTGGTGTTGCATATTAAAAATAGTATCAAAAAAGTATTACATTTTCCCCTTGTTTTCCAAGTTAACCAAATATTACAGATGGTTGGATGCAGAAACAGATTTGAAAATCTAGTGTTTTTCTTTTCTGTTTTTATTTTTTTATATATAGTTTAGCCTAAATGTTAGATTTTTGAAGAGAAACATTGTGCCATTCTTTTTACTGTTTTTGGTTTTATGAATAGTTAACTTTCTAAAACATTTCAAATCAAGTATTTAATTTTTCTCAGATTTCAGTGACAGCTTAGATATTGTTGCACTAAATCCACATATATAGCTCCCTGGAGCTCTTAGTAACTTTTGAGAATGAAAAAGAATTAAAAACATTTGAAAACCCATATAAGCAGTATTATTGGGCTAAAAACTCTTAATTTAAAAAGTTCAGAAGATCCACAGCCACTCTCTGTCACTGGGAAGTTAGACAGTGTTGAGATAGACAATGTTAAAAGCTTGTGACTACCTAAGTGAGACTTCTTGATGTTAAATCTTAAAGGAAAATGAAATTAGTTTCACTATATAATTGTTATTTGATACTGTGTGTAAATCCTGTGAGGTACATAGGAAACATGGGTAGAATGATAATTTTCTTGGTTTTGTTTGCTTTTCCGTTTTGTTCTGCATTATTTAATTTATAATCTTATATACATGTTTACTGTCTTTGCTTTTCTCTGTTCACTTCTGTTAAACTTGAGAGAACTCAACCTTCCCTGCTTCTGTCAGATGATTCAGAAACATGTTGTATGAGAACCGGCAAATTCAGAACTGTGACTGATAAAAACTGCATATTTCAGGCAGCATCTAACACATTGGTGTAATCCAAGTTCTAAATTTAGTTGGTTGCCTAACATCCAAAGCTTGACTGATGCTGACTAAATCTGGGGATCTCCAGAACCCATACTCTTTACTTCCAGATCATGCTTTTCGTCCTCATTACCATGGCTGCTCATTTTGACTCCGTTTCCAAAATACACCTGACAGCAAACCAGAGTTGCTTGTTTGTGCAAGGGAGAATACTCAAATACCATTTCTTTAACTAATGACATGAGGTGAAACGGAGTATTTTAATAGTGATATAATTTTATTGTTTCAAACTATGAGACATTGAAAATCTTAATCTAACTAAGCATCATAAATATTTGGATGGAAATAATTTATACTGGTAGTGTAGAAATATTCCAAACAATGATATTTTTTCTGTACAGAAACTTGAATACATTACAGGAGTGCTGCAGGGGCAAAGTAGACTTCACTTTCTGTGAAGATGCTCCTGTCTTCTTTACTCTGTGCCCATCACTGAACCTTATGGCACTGAGCACACTGTGGCTTTATGGATGCTCCTGAATTCATTCCTATGTTGCTCAGTAGGTAAGTGGGGAGAGCTACAAACTTAAAGGATAATTGCTCCTTGCTGATAGAACAAAGAAATATGAAGATGTCAGTTACTACTTAGATTTTCCTTTTCATAGGTCAGTCTTCCTATACTAAAATATGTAAGACCAGAGAACAATCATAGAGGATTACTGCAGTTTTCAGTGTTGTGTGTTATGTAAAAACAGCTCCTATCATAATATGATTAATTGTTCTTGTCTTAAAGCAGAGATTCTTTTTTTTTTTTTTTTTTTTTCCTGATGTGTCTGTCTTTTTTAATTCGGTATGATACATCTACTTTTCCTTCTTTAGGAAGTTACTCGACCTCTCCAGTGTCTGAACTCTATAAAATAGCGATAAAGAGCTCTTAGAAATGGTGCCAATGAACACCAAATTTAGCTTTGATAGCCTTCATTCAGCCAGTCAGTATTTACTCAGCTGTCCTCCACTGGGCAGTCATTTTGAGATAAATCAACATTACTGCCTCTGTGGTACTGCCAGCCTGGAGGAGCACAGGGACATTCATCAAACAGTTATACAGATAATTAAAACTTGTAGCAAATGCACATTGATGTGTCCTCCACTCACTCTGTCCCTCCATGCTAGTGATCCTTTCTCACTATTCCATCTTGGCATCTTTGGATGACAAGGACCATGTGTATGTACAATTATTGTGCAGCAATTAAGAGTAGAAATACAATAATTATGTCTGGGTCCTGTTAATACTTATTATATAGAAACTATACAGCATTAATTTAATTTTAACCATGACTGAATTTGTAATCTAAAGCATAAAATGAAGCTTCCTTCAAAGATTCTTACTCTGTAACTAAAGCACTCCTTTTGAGATTTTATCTACCATGGTATATAAACTAATCAATACCAATACTTATTGATGTGTATCATATATAATGTCATGAAATTTGAATATATTTTCCAATTCTTGCAAAAAAATCTTCAAAGTGGGTGATTTTCTTCTGAGGAAAGTTGTGGCTGAATGAGGTCAAAGGTTTGTTTGGAGAACATCCATAGGAGCTGCCTGAATCCTAGTCGCTGGAAACCTAAGGTAGCCAGCGACTGTGCTGTCTGGTTTAACTAATGTACTGTATCCAAGGTGATAGTGCACATGAGGATGGCCAGTTGTTTGTGGGAAAATTAAGTGTGTAATGATTCTTTTTAAAAGATGATTTTTGGTGAATGTTACTTTGTAAGACTTTACAAATTGAGAAAGTAAGATAACTTTAGTAGTTGCTTATACTCGTTACTTTGCTACTCTGGCAAAATGTAGTTATGCTGTGTCAACACTACCTCCTATCCTTCAAAGATTTTCTTGATATAGTCAGAGGATGGCTGTATTTTAAACTAACTACTACTGCTAGACATTGTCTTATCTGTTGCCTGAGTGCTGGAATTAAAACTGTGTGCTACCATGTTCAGCTTCCTATCTGGTTTCTTAAGAATGTGAGTTCCTGAATGAATTTCACCACCAATTACAAAATTATGTCATGGTTGAAAATTCAACTTAGTGATAGAAATAGAAAGTCTGTAAAGCTATTTATATGCATTAGTCACTGCCATTAATTTAGTAAGTATTGCTGAGTGACTGTCAGAACTAGGCCTTGTGATAAGAATAGCAACACATGAGGTTAGAATTTGAACAGTTTTGAAGAATCTAATGTTTAGCTATCCTTTGAAACTGTCGTTTGTGCTCTGATTTGTCATGGCTCACTCAGACAGAAAATACATATCAAATATATAGAGACATAAAAGTGCTTTGAAATGTATTTAACAAATGTGACTCCTCAAGGAATTATATTTTTTGAGAAATGAAACTTTCCCAAATGCTTCTGCCTATTATGAAATAATACAGTGTTAAATAAGCTGTGTGGCCTACTCTCCTGATGCCAAATCTGACCAGCTGTGGCAGCAGTGTAGCTTATCAGTCATCAGTGTGGAAAGGAACCCCTGGAGAAGGCTAAGAAGAACTAGGAAAGCCTGGCAGTGATGGCGCATGCCTTTAGTCCCAGTAGGCAGTTCGGGAGGCAGAAGCAGGTGGATCTCTGTGAAAGAAACAAACAAGAAGAACTGGAGAGAGGCCATTTTACTTGACACTCTGCACATGGGAAGGAGCACAGTGCTTGCACCTGAAGGTTTAGTAAGGTAAGCAGGTCTGAGCAGACTGAAAGTCAGTACTCTAGAGGGAAAGTACCAGGTGTCTCATTGAGATTTCATCACAAGTATGCCCTCTCAGCCTTCTCTCCCTACAAACATGCAAAAGAAAAGAGAAAAACTGGCTGAGTGCTGGAGTTTGTCAGAACTTTGAGACGTCAAGGAGTCAAAGGGAAGAAGAGAACAGAACAGATTGAGGATCTGCGGAAGAGGCAGGAGGGGTCGGTGCACACTGAGACAAGGGTACAAAACCAGCAGCACACAGAGGTCTGTGCATGTGTATCGCAGGAATATAGGAATGCAGCTTTTCGTGTGTGTGCTTTGCTTCTTTACCTTTGTCCTTCAGCTCAGGAATTAAATGCTTGAGGAAAATTAACTGCACTTGTTGCCTGAGTTGGTAGCGATCCTAGTGACCATTTCACCAGATGATGATTTTTGTTGGGAGCTCATACCAATAA